ACTCTATCTAAGCTATAAAAATATTTTCAATGTCACTTATAAAAATATTTTCAATGTCACTTGACAGATGCCTCCCATAAAATTATTTCTATGTCAAAATTTAGACAAAATTATTAGGGTCGTTTTTTTGAAAAAAGTATGTACGCCACTGAATGCAGCATACTTCAAAATGGGTACAAATCAAATTTCATTAAAAACGAACAATTATAATAAATAAATAAATAAACGTTTATTTAGCTAAAGCTATTATAGTTTCTTACATAAATAAATACATTACATATACACGTTTTGTTTAATATATGCATATATTATATTATATTATATGACATGTCAATAGTAATTTCTTAAAGTTATTATAATTATTACAATTTTTAGTTTCTGTTGGTAAATTATTAAACATAATAAGGCCATTTTTAAAAACATTGTTCATACATTTAGCAGTTCTAGAAGTTTCTATATAAAAATCATTTGTATTTCTAGTTTGATATGCATGTATTGAATTAACATATTTTAACTTGTCACATAGATATTTTGGCACTTTTCCGTGTTTTATTTTATATATATAGTCCATAGTCCTAAAATATATTCTCTGTTTAACACTTAATAGATTTAACACTTCTAACATAGTTTTAACAGGTGTATATTTATTACATTTTAAAATTAACCTCATACATTTGTTTTGTAAAACCTGAAATTTTTGGATTTGATTTTGGGGCAACCTATATAAAACTGTAGAATAGTAATCAAAATGGGGTGAAATTAATGTCTTATATAACAACATATGATTTTAAAAATTTAAAAACCTATTCATTCTCCTTAAAAAATACAGTTTTTTTTGATATTTTATTTCTAATATAATTAGCATGATCATAAAAATGTAGTTGTTCATCAATTATTATTCCTAAATATTTAATTTTATTTACCCTATCCAAAACATCACTGTCAATTTCAAGGGATACATCACTAACTTTAGTTATATATAAGTTATATTTACTACATAAAAACATATATTTACATTTACTTTTATTTACACATAGATTGTTATCACAGAGCCATTTAAAAATACTATCAAGATCACAATTTAGTTTATCACACATTTCCATAATATTTGTACCATATATATAAATCATTGTATCATCCGCAAAAAGTTTAATTTGACAATGTTTAATGTATTTTGTAATGTCATTTATATACAATATAAAAAGTAAAGGACCTAATACTGTTCCTTGTGGGACTCCATGGTAGGTTGGTAATTGACTAGAAAACGTATTATTAAATTTGACTTTTTGATATCTTTCTGTAAGGTAAGAAATCATCCAACTTAACGCTTTATCCCCTATACCTAATTTTTCCAACTTTTTTATTAATAATAACCTATTTACAGTTTTAAAGGCTCTTTTAAAATCAAGGAAAACCGCAATAACAATATTATTATTATTAGTATAGTTTTTAACCAGTTCACATATACTCAAAATTACCGATTCACATGAATGTTTTTCTCGAAAACCTAACGGATGTTCTGTTATTATATTATTTTCGTTTAAATATTGCACAAGTTGATTTTTAACTATAGTTTCAATAACTTTTTCATGAGGTGGTAAAACATTTATAGGTCTATATTCTTCACTTAAAATTGTGTTATTAATCTTTGGCACTGGCATGCACAATTACCGAATTCTTCCAAATATCGGGAAATACTCCTTTTTCTAAAGAGGTGTTGAATCACATCCAAATATCTATTTGCAACTACTTCAATGGCGTCCTTTAATATTTTTGTTGAAATTCCATCTTCAGATCCATTTTTATTTCGCATTCCCATAACGACCTTATTAAGCTCTTGTATGTTAATAGTTTTATATTTGTTCAGTTTAGTATATTATTAATTATTTTATTTATGCTATCTATACAAAATATATTTAAATTTGTTGAAATTTCAAAATTGTCTTTTATTTTTATTTTATTAAATTCATTGCAATTATTAGTGGTTCCATCATTTTTATTAGGTAGGTAGTATATGTTTAAGTTTTTTCCAAATTTCAGTTTTTTCTTTTGTGTTAATAATATTATGTATATACTTTTGTTTTTCTATTCTTAATAAAGTAGTAAGTTAATTCCTTATGTTTTTATAGCTAAGCCAATCGCTGTTTATATTTGTAAACACTGCTTTTTTGTAGGCCAATCGAAAGATTGATTATGTTAAAACATACAGTTTTTACATTTATAATAAGAACGTTATTATTGTTTGAAGTTTGTCTAATTTCAAGTGGTTTTTCTCAAGCTATTTCTTAAAAAACCTTTAAAAAATTAAATTATTTAAACAATGTATTCATATTCCAAAAATTCCGGCAAACATAATAATAAACAAATTAGAGGCTATTTTTGATTAACGCATTTAGCAAAATTTTAGCAACAACAAAAACCATTTTAAATATTTTTAAAATTTTGTAAAAATTTTGTTAAAAAGACAGGATTTAAAAGGCAAAATTATTATTAGTAGTTATTTATAAAAGTCTATAGACTTATTACTTATATAGTAAATTTTAGATAGTAAAAAATTATAGTAAAATTTACTTTAACAAATTTTTAGGATAACAATATTATATATTCGTCAATACAATATTAAGATTGTAATACAAAATACTATTTTTTATTATACAATTTTAGTAAAGATTTACTAACTCCAATATTACTAAATCATAAATGTATAATATATATTTTAATTTTTAATATATTCGTATGGTAAATTGATTTTTCTATCCACAAATAGTAATATTTACTATATGATTTAATCAAATGTAAGGTGTACATCTAATATTATAATATATTACACATTAATAAAAAATATAGTAAAAATAAAGATAAGGTAAATAAACAATATATTTAAATATAACATACAATATAGTAACTCATGACATTTTAAACATTCAATTTTCTTAGTTTCTTCAATAAACTTTCTTGACCCATTACTGGTAATACTTATAAGAAAGAATTGAACCTACTTGGTTGCATAGTATGTACCGATTGCGGCAAAGGCCACGCCGCGACGCGTCGTTAGACGGTGTGGATCACGTGATGTTCTTACATCTCGCCTCTGTTGGCTTCCCAACCATGTTATATAAGCTCAGGTATTTCTTTGTTTTGGGTGTGTTCCACTACTACAAGTTGCTCGACAGTGTCGTGTCGACACTGATGATACCCAATATAGGTCAAAACACCTGTCTGTCGGTATTTGAAGTTGATGGAACGCAATCAAAACAAAAAAATTTGGCGAGGAGTAGGTTCAAGTCTTTCTCATAACAACTTTTAAATGTTAACATATAAAAATATTCGATTTTAAAATATTTTATATTTAAAATGGCAACATAATATTTTAAAATTTAATATACTTATTAGTAATGGAAAAAATCTAATTATAATAAGAATTAAAAACAAAATTGGTTGAGAATAATAATATTTTACCTTAAGGTTTAACATGCATGGATATTTAAAAATTACCAAATATGCATAGTATCTGGCAATATACAAGATAGTTGTCCCAAATAGTAATATAAATTATAGTAAAGGGTATTATAATCAGGGCCATATTACCCTATTAGGCAGGCAAGGCAATTGCCTAAGGCGCCACGTAGTAATAGGCGCCTTGTCCCCAAACAACTTAAAAAAAATAAAAATTGTTACCAAAATGTTTATTTTTTCCAAAAATAAAACAAATAAACAATATACAATTGTAATAACAGAATATTATTTACTGTTTTTATTATTTTATACAAATTTAGCTTCCTTTGTAATAACGAGGTGTAAAGCCGACAAAAAAGCGTGCCGCAAATTCACTTCTGTTTTTATGCCAAATAGTAATCAGGTGTTATATCACCATGCTTGATTACGAGGGCACTTCTTTTTGAAGTAGAATAAGACATTTTATTATTAACTGTATAATTAACAAATAATAATAAATCTTAACGTTAAACTGCAAACAAAAACTTAAAAGATAATTTAATTTGTAAACTTTACCCTGTATAAACATATCTTTAGCACTCTTTAAACTATTTCAAAACCCCCGTATGCTCCAAGCACACGGATTCCTCTTGCATCGGGTACCCGCTGTGATGTGCTGCTCAGCCCAGCGGGTACGCGATACTAGAGGAAACTGCTGCCGGAAGGACTTGGGTGTTTTCGCGTTTATTCAAGAGTGGCACTTCTATGTGTAGTGTGTTTGGTGATAGCAGTCTGTGTTCGATAGTTAAGGTTGATTTAGCCTGGCTTTTAAATTAAATTACGTTACGTTAGATTACGTTGCACAAAATGCAGGCTAAATCCACATTTAGATAGTGTTAATTTTTCTGTTTGTTTTAAGGTATTTCTGAAATTTTAATATTAAACTGGTTACAATAAACCAGCAGTACATCCAACATACAAATACAGAAAATTAAAGTTGATTTAATTTTTTTTAAATACTTACTAATGACATCTTGCAGAAAAACGCACTTATAAGTCCTAACACTTTTTATTTACAATATATTTGTTATGTTTGTATGTTATTTATGTTTTTTATGTATTTTTTAATGATAAAAAGTATTCTAATTCATAGGGAATAATTAGGTTATAATGTTTGGGCGCCCTTAAGCTAACAGTTTGGGGTGGCTCTAATAAGCTTTTTTAAAATTTTCCCCGGGCCCCGTAAGTATAGTATCTAGTTAGAGGAGGCAAATTTTTAAGGCGCTCAATTGCCTTAAGCCGGCTCTGATTATAATTATGGTAATCAGCATTATACTTTTCTCTCCTGCGTATTTAAAAAAAAACGAAAAATACTAATCTGTGTCAAACATATTTACAAACAAGCAAACGACCTTACAATTAGCTCAAATATGCGTCTAATTGAATTGGCAACATGTTCGTTATCAATCCGTCCAAGTTCCCCGAATCAATTTAACAGCATTTAATCTTTGATCTCGCGCACAGAACCGAACGATTATGCGAGTCAACAACCCCTGGCCCCTAGATAACACAATCGCATCGCGGTCAAAGGCAACTCGACAATCACAAAGCAGTCGCTAAGATGGCGGTGCAACGCAATTGTCTCGCGCTTTTGTTTTCGTCGATTTTGGCCGTTTGTTTGGCGCAAACCGCTAGCAACGAGTGCTCCAAGAGCTACCTGGATAACGCGCTGAAATCCACCAGGGTTACCAATGGAAACACCACTTTATGGTCTAGGTTATCGGAGAGGGAGCCGCCGGAGACTTTGACCACTTTCGAGGTGCAAAAACATCAGTACGTATTGCAAATCTGCAGGTGGTCTTTGCCCATCAGGAAGCAAGAATACGTATTGGCCAATATAGGCTTGATGTACTTGGAAAAAGAGGCTTTCCCAACAAACAACGCGACCTATGTGGTCGACCTGCACAAAAATTACCTCGAATCTGTGAGATACGGAGTATTCAGCAATACAGGTAAGAAAAAAGTTTTTCTCGTTCGCGTTAAAAATTCACGTATGTATCAAGAAGTTTTATTGCCTCAGTCGGCGTTGACAAACTAGCGCAAAGTTTACTTAATAAATTTTCCGGTTTTTTTCGTTGTTATGTGTTTTCTTGCGAGCTGATAAATTCGCTTTTTATGATTTTCTTTATTTGTGTTTTTAAATTTAAAAGCGAAGGTATACATAAATATTACATTTTTTGATTAGTTTTTAAGTATGTACTTTAATTATTATTTAATAAAACGTGTTTTTATTCTTTGCCTTTTTAAGGCAAAAAGCATTTTTATCGCGATTCTATTCATTAAATTAATTTTTTCTACTCCCACCTTTAAAACGCCCTTAAACGTACATGTTTCCATGACACTAAGTGACGTTTTAAATACACATTGGCAAGTTGTGGCTTTACGGCGCTTTAGTCACGGGCTGAAGTTAGCAACAGGTTTTTAGTCACGGGCTGAAGTTAGTTTTAAGTTAGTTGACAGTTGTCAAATGTCATAAAATCGTTAAAATAAAGTGCCTTTCTTGTAAAATAATACTAAATGTGAAAATTATTTTATTATCACAATACAAAAATACAAAAATATTAAATAGTTTCTCAACGCCAATATTTCAAAAGTTTATATGAACATTGTACTGAACTTTTAATTTCGCCGGCAGTAAACTATAACTTAAATTCGGGCACAGACTCCATTGTCACTGTGAGAAACTGTCAATTTTCAAGATACATTTCGATTTATAACCTTTTTAATTGTGTTTATAAAATGTAAAAATGTGACATTTGGCAGTTTCCCCTGTTGTTTCTTAGATGGCGCTCTATACAAATTTTTGATTTAAATCATTTTAAGATAATAATAGTATTTGTCGTAAAAAAAGTATAGTATGCACCTCGTTTATAAACTTTTCTATACACTTATTAACTTAAGCACTCGCTCGCAAGCTCGCTCCTTCCTAAATTAAATCCGTGTATAAAATGGCGTTTATCAAACTTGATACATAATATACTATTATCGCGATTCTATTCATTAAATTAATTTTATCTATTTTGCTTTCATAATGACTTCATTATAACACCGCCTTCGGTGCTGCAATGAGATACTTTATCCCACCCAAAATTTTAATTTTATAGGTTGGCTATACTTTAAACAGCATAATATTTTGCATATTGGTTATAATATTTTTATGATTTTTATAGTACGAGACTTTTCTGGCAATAAATAAAATCATTTTTTCTTCTTTAACATTAACAGCCGCTTATTGTAAATAAGTAAATTAAGGACGGCATGGCGAATCGATTTTGACTGTCAAACCAATGACTGTGATACCAACTATCTAAAGTAAAATTCATTCAAATTAAATATAAGGTATAAAATTTAGAATTTTTGCAAAATAGATAAAATAGCATAAATAACTCATGTCTTAAGACCTTTTGTCGTACTCATCCATTACAAAACTCGTTTTATAAATTGTCCGCGTGACAAAATATACCTAAATATAATCATTTTGTAAAGAAATTTATCTTAACGTTGGAATTTTGATTTTTTAAGTTTTTAGGTAATTTTATTACCACATTTTAATTTTAATTTTATCGTAAAAATGCGATTTTAAGGTAGATCGTCAGTACGTTGCGGGGGGTAAGGGGTAAGGGGAGTTAATTTAAAAAAAACAATTTTCCAACTTTTTATTTTATTTTAATCCAAAACGCACTATAAACACATATATTGTAACACAATAACTTAAAAGTGATTTTATTTATATTTGGATTCTATGGTAACGATTTTCGATTTTGAAAGTGGCAGTGGCAGTTCTATAGGCAGTGTTATTTAAAATCTAAAAATGAAGAGAGAAAAAATATTTCAAAAAGGCATGGGAACAAAAAATAAGGCAACAGAAAACATGCAGTATACAGCGAAAGTCTAAAGAGAAGAGCAGAAAACAAAGACATAAAACCATAGTGGAAAGTGGAAAGATTCTCTATTTATTAAAAAATATATATAACTTATAATAATTAACAAATAAATCACACCAAATACTCGTAGATTACGTGTTCGTAATCCAGTGTTGCCGGATCTTCTAGACGAAAATGACACATTGATAATTTTGGTTAACAGTCAACATTATCGTTTATTATTGCAAAACTGTGCGGTGAAAGTTAACAAAAATTTGTACAGCACTTCTATTAAAACATATGCATTAATTAAAGACATGGGCTGTATTTAATTAACGCATATGTATCTTATAACATGAAAATACCTGTATTATTAGCATATACATTTTTGTCAACATTCACAAATAAACGATAAAATACACGGGCAACTTTAATAAATTTTTACCCAGGAACCAGACAGTTAATCTTTCTAAAACTTAGTAAATGTCTTTTAAGTAGACACTACAACAACCTAGAATTTCTTTAACTCTTTCTCATAGTTTTTTCTTAATTCTATCTTATGTAACTAATTTTGTGTTATACTGCATATTGTAAAAAAAATTGTAAAAAATGTATTTATGTAGACTTTGTCTGTTGGATTAATAAATTATTATTATAGCGACTAATATCGTGCCCGAACTTTAGTTTTATAGTTCAAACGTGAATTTAATTTTAAAAAAATTGTAAAAAGGTATATCCACCATTTTACAAAATATAATCATTTTTTTATAGATTACCAAGCTATCTAAAGATGTTGTCATCAAAGTTGCTTTTTGTGAAGATGATTTTTTTATCGTAAAAATGCGTTTTTAACAATATTTTAATCATAATATTAGTACAATTGTAAAAAAACACTATTGTTCAAATTTAAAGTATTTATACTCATTATTAATATTATTTATTTATAAATATGATTCATCGTCCTAAAAAGCGTTCTATACATAAAATCAGTATTAAATGTCTTAATAATGTATTTCAAGGCTGTTTAGTTGGACATTATCTAACTGACGAAGAAAGCTCTTATATTATAGTCGTCTAAATTCCATCAGCGTTATGCATTATTAAAATCGTAAATCTACTCATCGGAAAAAACCAAAAGCGGGTTTTATATTATGTATTATAAATTCTTGGATATATTTTGTCGTTTACTATTTTAAAATGCATTTGTCTTGGCTCAAATAAATTATTTATTTCAATATCTACAAGAAGATATTTATTTATTGGAAACCTTGGGTTTATTTGACTTTTTAAACTGATATTTGGTTAATACAAGTAAATATCTAGTTTTTATCTCAGGTTTAGTAGAAGCTTACTTAAAGAAACAAAACCTACATCCAAACAATTCAATTAATTGCTCTAAATAAATATATCTTTACAATTAATCACAACAATAAGTTGTTTTTAAGAAACTTATGATTTACAACCAAATAATAGTATTTTCTTATTGTAAACAACATGTTACTACGAAAAAGAAAATTTTACTTCATACAAGAAAACCTATTTCAAATAAATGCATTTTTTTAAATCAAGAGATTACTTTTCTCTATGTAGTTTCAAGTTTAAATTTTCAGTGTTTTTATTTATTTTTATTTTTTTTTCCCAATATTCTACCACTCATTTATAAACTAAAAATATTTGTATTAATTTTTTTTTGTAATTTTCATCCAAAAATTATTTTAACTTCCAAATCTTGTGTTGTAAAATTATTTTATATGTACATTCATAAATTATTATTAATACAAATAATATTTTCTATTTCTAGGAATCTTGGCGTTAAATCTAAGCCACAACCAGATCGAATACGTCGAAGAAACTGCCTTTAACAACATGAAATACTTGGAAATTCTCGATTTAAACCACAACAGACTTCGCAACTGGAACCCCAACTTTTTCACAAACACCTACAACCTACGTCACGTCTACGTGAGCAACAATCACATCAGCTACCTGCCGGAGTACATCCTTAAAAACTACAAATGCGGTTACCTGAATAATCCCACCTTTAAGCTCAACTTGGGGGAAATCCTGGCTTACATAGCGCACGAAGGGTATTGCTCCCTGAATTTTTCCAGAAACAGAATCACCCACATTCACCCCATGGCATTCGCTAACAGAACGAAATTTGGAAGCATTGATTTGAGTGGCAATAAAATCACAGAGGTGCCTCCAGTTTGGTTGGAAGATTTTAAAATGGTCACTTTCAACTTGAGCAATAACAGAATCAAGGAGATTTCGATTCCTACGATGAAGAAATTGAGTGCTTGCATTCTTTGTGCCATACATGTGGTTTGAAGATAGAATTACTAGTTACACAAGATATAACCATAATTTATATATATAAGGTGCGTTTTAAAGTAAAAATTATTTTGGCAAACCTCTTTATATATTTATTTAATTTAAAATCATCTCATTGAAACTCGATTTAGATTCGCAAGGTAAAAAGCATTTTGAATAGGTTTTGGGTCGTCTAGGTCACAAAAAGTTGAAATGTTTTATATTAAGCCACCACTGAACTTTAAGGGCCGTATGCAGAAACGTTGATTTATTTATATCAACTGATTTAGCATATCAGTGGATTTAGGTTTTTGCACGACATGGCAACGCAGTAATTTTCTTTAAAAACTGTTATTTTATTAAATAAATTGGGAAATTATCTTTAAAACGTTTTTATTATTCCTAAAGAGTTGATTTCTAAACATTGACATTTTAAATTAGATATAAAACAATCAAGATATATTAGACATTTGTGACATTTTTTTTTAACCATAGAAAATAATTTTTCTAATATAAGTCATGGTTTACTAGATTTGTTTTTTGGCCAATAAAATCATCTAAAATGTAAATCGGTTGATATAATTTATATCAGTCCTTAACGACTGATTTAAAATATTTATAAAATAGACTGCATTTTTGTTTTTAAATATATGAAAAAAATAAATCCAGAAAGTAAACATACAAAAAATTAAGGAATACATTTTTTTAAGATAAAATTACTACTATGCTAATCATATCATCTTTGCTGTTTTTTTGTCAAACCAAAGAGGTGAATGCTTAAAATCAATTGATTTATAACATTCTTTAGTTTCATTTTAAAAGAATTACCCCTAATATTGAACTTGGGTAAAAATATTTAATTATTAATTTTTTTATTATAAGGAACATAAAAATCATACAAATCTATTTAATACATTTTATGATAATTGTTAATATGTTATATAAATAAATTTGTAATTTAGTAAACAATAAATTTAATTTAGAAATATTAATAACTAGGGTAAAAAGGATTAAAAAATATTACCAAAATTTATTTATCTTATTTTTTTACATATTTTTTAATTATAGACCAAGTTCAACTTATATTCTGCTTTTAAATTTTGAGCTTGTTCTTTAAATAGAAACAGTAGGTTTTGGGTAAAGGTTGAGGGGACTTTTTTTCTGAGGGGATTTCTGAGAGGAATTTTACACTCTGTTGTTTATTTTTGGGCCCAGAAATATACTATTAAACATAAAAGAAAATGAAATGAAGGGATTAATTATTTTTATTATTAGTAATTTTTATTTAACAAATAATTAAATAAATTAATATAAATTATTTAAAAAACAAATTGTAAATGGAATGCATACTTTTTTTCATAGGGTTTAATTTAACGTTTTAGAAAATCAAGGATTCTTGCCCCATTTACAGTAAGGGTGTAGCCAGGATTTTAATCAGGTGGGCAGGCAAGGGTAAACTATATGCATGCTACAAAAAGTTTCGAGACTCACCCTGCAAGTTTATACCCATTTTTTAGTACAATTTTGCCATTTTTAAGTATATCTTTAAAAATCTGAACACTTTTTATGTATATCAAGCTTTAACCAACAAATATTATGTTATGTTAGAGTTTGTTTCTTAATTTTTTATATTCTTGTTACGAATTTTAAATGTGCCTAAATACCTAAAAAGGTGTTATTGGTAGGTACCTGTAAAACAATAGGAAAAAAAGCATTGCCTTTTAGAAACAGGTTTAGTATTAACTATAATAATAATAATACTATAACTACAATATCCTTATAATATAATTAATTAATCTTTTACAAGCACACAAACACTTAATAAAATTTCCACAACTTCAACAAAATTTCTTTGTTCTTTTGAGAGACTTAAAGACCTAATTTTATTTAATTTTCTTCTAATATAAATTTACTTATTACAGAACACATTGCAAACTACGAACATAACCCAATTTTATATAAAAACAGATTGCTGCAATCCTTTTCAAACCAAGTTTTGTCAAAAATAAGGTTTTATCAGTTATAAATGTATTTATGTGTATATTTAATAATACATTTTAAAAATGTACAAATTTTATGTCATTTAAAATTAAATCAGTGGATATGCGTAAATCAGTTGATACAAATAAATCAACGTTTCTGCATACGGCTCTAAGTGATCTGTATATGTACAGAAGTCGGTAAAAATAAATATTTTATATCCCATAGAATGAAAATGATTCGCATGTAAATTTATAAGGAACGTGTTATTGTTTGTTGGAGAGGCTCCATGTTCAATACCTACAAATCCCATATAAAGGAAATGATATTACTGCTTACGATTTCTGCAGACAGCTGTGTTTTTTCGCTTTCAAAGATGTTGTGATCTTGTTTACAAATTTGTTATTCCTTAGCGCAAAAATTCTTCGCTATTATAACAAAACATATTCTATATAGAAAAAGATCAAAAACCCTTTTATAAGGATTGTTATTTTAAAATTGTTTGTCGAAAAAATCTTGTTATAAAACTTTTCTTCCTTTAGTGCGCTGTTCATTTTAACATTCCCGCTTTGGAGAGATGTGTAAAGCAGCAGTATTTTTAAAGTTATAATTGGGCGCATCGAACAAAAGCTCGAGTCAGACGGCGTTTAAACATGTTTATAATCAGGAAAAATATGGGGACTTATTGTTACATTTCCCGATTCTTATGCACTTCACTTCTTTCGTCATCATCAAGGCTGAGAGAACTTTGCGAAAGAGTGGAAAAATTGGCTTCGTTTTGTCGCAAATCCCCCCATCATATTTTTACATAAAACCGGGGGAATGGAAGATGCTGTATAACACTTAAACTGTCTCTTTCTCGCACTTAACAGTCAATATTGTTTGATACGGTTCGCATTTCCAGACGACAATATGAAACCCTACCTGCGCTTTTCAAGAGCGAGAGAAAAATTAAATAAGCCATAAAAAGACATTTTAAAATTGTATCTATTTCATGGGTTTAATTTGATATGCGACAGTATTTCTTTTAGATACCTACAGGTAGAATGAAAAATACTATTGATTTGAATAAATTCTATTTTATTGAGTAATTATAATTTTGTTTGATAAATGCCCTTTATGTCACTAAAGCACTAGCGAGCTTGCGAGCGAGTGTCTAATTAAACGAGTGTCTAGAAAAGTTTACCAACTGGGGAATCTGTATTACCGGTCAATATATAAAATTTTCATGCGTAAATACAAATTGATCCCTTGCAAATGGACTAACAACCGTTTAAATCTGATATAGAAGCAGTTTTTCACAGGAAAAGTGAAGAGAATGTTTTATGGGCATTTCAAGGCCCAAGAAGCAAAATAGGTTTTATAAGGTTTACTCTTAAAGGAAATTTGCATTGTTTAGTTAAAACCTATTTGCTTTAACAGCAGCTATACAGCTTCAATAAAACCATCATATGGCTATCGCTGTCCTTAGGAGCAATTTGTCAGCCAGAAAGCAACTTTGCTTTATTGTATTAGTCCTAAGGCACACCTTACAGAAGCCGTAAAACCTACCTTACAGCTGTTATAAAACCTGCTTAGTGCAATAGGTTTTAAGGAGGTAGTATACTTTTGTGGTAAACACATTTTAGCTGACAATTTGTACTTATTTATATACCTTTTTACTTTATTGTTGTACTTTGTAGGTTCCATATTGCTTTAATGAAATACTTGTTTGGTATATTGTTGCCTTATGGAACACTAAGCATAGGCATGGTTCAAATCACAATGAATATTAAAATTGGCCAGTCACTGATGCCTAACAAAGTAAATAATAAGTTCATTATTCCCCTTGTTAAACGAGGCGGTTATAATGGTTACCATTTTATACGTAAAAACCCAATATTATGCAATAGTAGTATATTATGTAGGTATCAAGTTTGATAAACGTCATTTTAGACACAAATTTAATTTAGGCACGATCGAGCTTCCGAGCGAGTGCTTAAATTAATGAGTGTCTAGAAAAGTTTATAAACGAGTTGCATTCTATACTTTTTCTACGACAAATACTTATTATTATCTAAAAATGATTTAAATTAGTAATTGTATAGAACGACATATATAAAACAATAGAGTAACCAACTTGGGAATCAGGGTTACCGTCAAATATTACATTTTTATGTGTTATAAATCGAAATGAATCCCTTGAAAATGGATTAACAACAGTTTTTCACAGATAAAGTGAAGAAAATGTTTTATGGGCACTCCACGGTGAAGTCTCCACTCGAAATTAAGTTAAATCTAGTTTACTGCCGGCGAAATTGAAAGGTTAGTACAATGTTTATACACAGTAAAAAAAAAATCAACTCTAAGCAACAGAGAATTCAGGCTGTATGTCGGGGATTTACCACACGTGTACAAATTTTCCATAATAATAATAAAAATGTAGGTATAGGTTGATATAACAACCATTACGCTTGAAAATAAAAAGTAAATCAAGTGTGTATGTATTTATATTGGTATGGACATCCTTTTAACATATTGGTATTTAATGAGTATTAAGGCTTAAAGGCTAAAAAATAAGAATGTCCCCTTATGGATTCACCGTAATTAAAATCTAACTGAACAAAAATGCTACACTTCCACAACGCGGTATCTCCGGATACGCACTGCGGAGGTAGATAGGTACCAATCAAACATTTTAAAACGCATTTCGGTTATTACCAGTTTTTTCTGTCTATTTTGCCACTATTAGTGTAATTTAACTTTAATTGTGATACAATGTGCACTAGTAGTGTAAAGAAAAAAGAGCTCTTAGTAACATTTAAACAGACAAAGAAATTGGCATGCACTGTAGTGTAAATTTTGTCACTATTTAACACATTAAGGGGTAATAAACACTCGCACTAAGTTTTTCTATCCTTTTGATTTATTTTAATAATAAATAGTGTGAATGCACCAATGAATAATGTTCATATTCTTTAAATGTGTTTAATAAAGTTAATAAGCACTAAATGCTAGCTAGTGTATTTTGTAGTGTAACTTTTACACTTACAAATCAACTCTAATATTTTTACCCCTACACTAAAAAATTTACACGGGCAAATTTTTTTACTGTGTATACACTATTCAAATAATGTGCATTTAAGAGGTCACTTAGTGTCATGGAAACATGTACGATAATGGGCGTTTTAAAATTGGGAGTAGAAAAAATAAATTACCAGCACAAATACATTATTAAAGAACTGAATAAAACTGATTCTAAAAAACCAGTAAAATAACACAGGAATGTGTAATAAAGCATTCATATTAATTATTTTTTCATTTGTAAAAACTGATATTAAAGTCTGAAGTGGTAGTTTAAATTTAATATCGTACAATTGCTTCGAAGGGAAAACAAGCAGATTTGCTCAAAGGAATCCGTAATTTAGTATACTACAAAATGACTACTCTTGAAATAATATTACCCACTTTAATCCAAGACGCACCTGATAAATCAAGAAGAGATCAAAAATAAATTTTCTCCGCTTTTTTCTTGTCTGTATACAATTTGTTATTTTGGACTAAAAAAAACTAAAAAAATAACAGCTTTTAAAATATAATTAAATAAGTTAATGGAATTTGTGTGCATACAGCCAGTAATTTTATAAATCGTCTTATGTGATTTATAATTGGTTTATAACCGAATTCCACTAAAGGCATGTCTGCAAGTCTGTTTCTAGTTATTAAATTTGCTTTATGTTTAAACCATCTTACGAATCAGACGCAGTCAA